GATGCATGGAGGAACCCGAGTGGAATTTCGGGTTTGAGTACGACAACCAAGGAAGAGTTGACATCCTCAAATCTCCCTTCTTCGACGTTGGCTTTGACTTCGACGACACCGTCGAAGAATATTTGGATCGGATACTTCCAACACTTGTGGATTCCATTGACGACCACTTCTCCTTCTACACGTGGATCATCAAAGGGCGTCATCACGTGCCACCTCCACCTCCGCGCTCCTTCCCCACAACGACGTTACTTGGCTCCTCCATCCTCGTGGCGACCTCCATACTAGTTTGGACGATCTTCCGCCGCTTAACCTAGTTTCGTAGGAACGAGAGAAGAGGCCTCAAGGTGAACAGCTCACTATTAATTGTTGGATTCAATGTGCTAGTTTTTAACTTTACTATTTTCCTTTGCATTGGCTTAAATCGCCCGGTTGCCTTTTTATTGTAATTCCTTTGCCTAAGCAAAGTAGATCTCTGCGAATTTTTATATCCAATTTGGAATTGAAGCATGATATTATGAATGGCTAAGCTTTAATTAATTTCCTTTTCTTTAATTATGTGTAACTCCATTCATGCATCACATCACCGGCCCTCCCTCATCTCTCTCCCCTTTTAATTTTCTTTAATACACCATTAACCCCTTCCCTCCTAATCTTAATTTCAAATTCAAAATTTTGAAATTGAAATTAAGAGCACGCCAATTTCGGAAATCTGAATTAAATCTCAGATTTTGAGCTTTTCTCCCCCATAGCTCCACCCGCCCCTAGCCCCTCTCCAACCCGTGACCCTCCTCCCTCCACTTGCTCACGGCTTGCTCTCTCATCTCCCCTCTTTGACTTCATCACTCACTACCACCATGTATGGCGGACCCTGAATTTGAATGGGGGCTTGTGTTTGACGCTCACGGTAATCTCGACATCCAACAATCGCCGTTCTTCGACGCGGGATTTGATTCCGACGACAACACCGTTGGAGCTTACTTGGATCGGATCCTACCGACCCTCATACACGTCATCGATAGACAAAGTCCAGGCTACGAGTGGACCATTGACGGCCGCCCACCCGCTCCTCCAATTCCGGCTTCTTCCCCGGCGACGAGTCCTCTCGGTCGCACCTGTCTACTAGTGGCATCACTAAGTCTACTTACGATCCTCCTCCGCTAGCCACGACTTTCAAGAACGAGCGAAGGGCTTCAAGGTGAATGATCTAGATTTTAAATTTGAGGCTACTTTATCATTACCTATTTGCATTACATAAATCTTTAGTGGTTATTTTGCAAGTTCCTATAATCTCTACATGTAATCTATTGCCATTTCTTAATCTATTAACGTCATTTTCTTAAACTCAAACTTGAGCAAACAAAGAGTTATTGAGTAGCAAGGTAAAATTCATCGCTTCTATTAATTTCTCAAAGGCAATTCTTGTTCACCGCATGTTGTTTCACATCAGTTATAGAGGATGAAAAGTACCACTTCAAATGCAAAAAATCTAACTGAAGAAGGCACATCTCCAGGAAAGAGGTACTTATGGGACTTATGGAAGAAGCTGCTGCTGGCAATGGCAAAGAAGGGATTTCCATTTACCGACTAGAAGAATAGCAGCCCATCTGCCTTGTTTGGCAAGTGACATAAACTTCTTGATTATAATGTTGAAAATTAAGTAGCTAGGTAGTTCAAGCATTAGTGAGGCTTTTATTATGTAGATGACTTGATGCTGTTGCACTTCTTTGCTGGTTTATAAAGTTAATCTGGAAGGTATAAACATGTGATAGGAAAGTTACTTAAGGTGATCGGTGGTCAATGACATCCAAGTTAGATTGCAGCATCTACAGCTAATTTCAACCACTGTTATATTGATCGGTAGTTTTAGAGTTACAAATTAGGTTGGTTTAGGGAAATTATGAAGATCAGGCGGGTTATATTAGACACTTACTGTTTTCTGTATCATAGATGCTTCCCTCTTTGTTTGTTTATTAGTTATGGTGCCTTAGGTTTTTGCTTGTTTTTGGGCTTGGTTGTCATTTTATTTGGCTATGATATTTCAGAATTTTTTTGTCATTGTTGACCATGCATCAGTTTTCTACATTGTTTGGAGTACATGTAGCTAATATAGTTAAGTAGCGGAACAATTGATCAAATCATCACTATTCCATGAATATATCAGTAGCCTCTACATGTTGAAGTAGGGGATAATATGAACTTAAGTACAAGTATCCAGTCTAAAAGATCCATTTTTTATATTTCTAATGCTTAATATGCCAGAAAATCTAGAAATAGCTGGTTTTGCCTGCTTCAAAAAAGGTTGGAACTTCGAGCATATATGAGATTGCACATAGTGTGGAGTTTTATCTTACTGACTTAGTTTCCCTTTTAAACTGGTAAAACGTTGGCAGTCTCTCCAGAAATCATTAATTTTTAAAAAATTGATTTGTGTTTTACATTGAAAATCCCAACCCAGGCAACTAGATGTGTACACTTTATATTTTATTTTGTTTTTTCCCCTCAATTTTTCTGTTTGCGTTTCAGGTGAAAATTCTTCTTTAGCGGAGCTTGTGGACTTCATAATTGCTTCTCAAAATGCAGGGTCCTTTGTAGACAAAGAAATGCTGGGATCAATTAATGGTGGCAATGAAAACGAAGTAATTTCTTCTTTTGTTTTTTGGTTCTATCGCTTGAAGGTCTACCATTGTCTTTCTATCTTGCATGATAGATATTGTCTTGCTTTGCTAAATGTTAGCATTTGCATTAGTTTGTGGAAGTTTCCTATTTATAGCAAGTGGATCATGTTTATTTGGATGCCTGTTAGGATAATAGTATCAATTAATTATTATCATTTATTGGTGGCGATAAAAATGAAATTGTATATTCTCCTGTTTTGGGTTATATCCCTTGAAGGTGTATCATTGTTATCGACATTGCATGTTAGATATGGACTAGCTTTTCAAACCAGATAATTTGGTTTTTGTTTTATTTTATTTTATTTTTTCTTTTACGAAATGCTGCAATGTCAGATATGGACTAGCTTTTCAAACCAGATAATTTCCTTTTTTTGCTAAATGCTTGCGCTAGCATTAGTGTAAGAAAGTCTTATTTATAGTAAGTGGACCAATGTTAGATAGGTATCCTTCAGGACATTATATATGTTCTTTTATTATATAAAAGGAGCCCTTCTATTAAGTAACACACATTTTTTCTCTCAATTTCATACCAGAGCAGGTTTAACCTACCCTGGCTGCTGCCCCCTTCCTCTTTTCCTCTTTCTTCATTCATCTATGATATGGCCATCCCCATGATCTTGCTATTGGTTGCGGCCATCCTTTGTTGTCGATCTCCACACTGCACCCACTTTCATTTTCCTTCATGCGCTTGTCCGCCTGCCCTTTGCGCTCCCCATCTACAATTGCTTGTATCCCCCTTGCACTCGTTTGCATTATGATCCCTAGCCTGCATGCAGTGCCCCTACACTCTTGCCCTTTCCACAAACATGCTTTTACCCACCATTCTAGTCTATGATACATCTATCTCATCCATTGCATCCTATTATTATAACAATTGCATTGGTTGTTGCTTGCCCGCTATATTTGGCATGGTGCTTCCTACGTCATTGATTATCAATTATCTAAGTCACCTTTCATTTCACAAACTCTCTCTCTCTCTCTCTCTCTCTCTCAACCATACTATGGTTTTGCAATCTTTTTTTAATAACAAATTTAAATGATCGGCATTGGATAATGTCATACTTTCCTAGTTAATAGTGAACATTTCATTGCCTAAACTATCATGTTTCAAGCATAGCCAAGGAATGTAAAAATTTCTTCATTCATCCTATATTTTAGGAAAGTGATTTATTTTATGTTTACATTCTCTATTATAAAATTTTCTTAGTAACAACATAATTTTTCTATCTAGGAATACTACAGTACCTTGCATTAGAGGTGTAAACTAGTCGAGTCGAGTAGTGGTATTTATCGAACTTAGCTCGCTTAAGTCATCCTGAGCTTGAGCTCGACTCGAGCTCCTTTAATAAGCTCGAACTTGACTCACTGTATAAAAATCAGGCTTGAGCTTGTTTAAAAAGCTCGAATTTTTATTTTAAAATTAAAAAATTAAGTATTTTCTTTTTTATTTTACTTGTAAATAAATATCAAAATGAAATTTAAAATAAAAGTTAAATATATAAGAAGTGAAATACAATACTGTTTTTTATCTTTTTTTTCATGAATCCTGTTACAACTATTATGACAAGTAAATTAATAAAAAGATCACAAATTTTTAGTTACAATTTCGGATCAAAATTTACAACTCAACAAATAACCTTATTGCAATCAATTTAAAATTCCAAATAATAAATATATTACAAAACTACAACCTATTTTATATATAAAATCTGAAAACTTTAGTCTGCAACTTTATTCTTCATTTATCCAATTTCAAGGCTTTCATTAACATTTAAGCTTTTATTCCTATCATCCTCTAAAGGATTGCACAGTCATATGCGATTCCATCTTGAGAAGAATCATAATGAACAGCTTGGGCAATAGTTGTACTTATGATAATTTTTCAAATTCATAAACTTGAACTTAAATAACCATTAAAGCTTAGCCACTATCCAACAACCAACATCTATTTCCTCTCAACAGGAAGAATCTAACAACAAAACCAGTGTCCAATAACAAGATGAACACCAGCAAGGTAGCAACAGTAAGAGCACAACAAGTCAACAAGAAAATAACAAGATAAAACATATATGAATCCAATAAGAATCATGATAGTCTTTTTCTGGTAATTAGCATTCCTTTAAATACTAAGCACTCAGTAGGATCTTGAAATAGCAACAATCCAACAAGAAGTGTCCAATAACAGCTGAAGCAGAACCTGTCAACAAGAAAAGAAGAAAATTAATTTTGCTCCAGATATCCCTTTGCGTGTATTGTTTTCTCTAAAATTGAGATAGTTATGGCTGCTTTGAGAAAAAAATCACTGTTGTACAAGCTATTTAAAAGATTTCAACTGGAAAGTTGTTATGGCCAATTAAAAAGTACAAACAAAGGTTTATGAATAAAGAAAAAATCACTGTTTTACAAGCATAAGGTCATTATACTAATCTAACATTCTTAAAACTCATGATTAACAAGAAGGATGTTTAACAAATTAAATAACTCACTTGATAAGAATCCTGACACATCAAATCATTATGAACAAGCAGTAAATTTCATGTTGGATGAAGGCTTGTCCGTTACTTCATGAGGAAAAAAGATTATCATTTCTTTTTGGAGGCAGATTAAGGAGTGGATGATCAAACACAATATTGTACCTTAAATTAAATTTCTAACGTCCAAGTGCTCATAGAATTGGTAAAGAAATCTCCATCTCTTCGTCCTCTTATTCACCATGTTATTACATCGAACTTTTGCCCTTCACTACTAAGTTCTAAGCTATCTTCCAAGCGTTTGCTCGAGTAAATAAAAAAAATCTAAATAACATCATGCATAATGGTAGAAGAAGCAAAATGCATTATAGTACTTGTTTTTTGAGCGGGTAGGCTGATTATCAAAATTTGATTGTTGTTTCAATCTTTCATTTATGCGGAATAATTTTCAAATGCATCATTCACCATTCAACTGGATGGAGCATACATCCTTTTCTTGAATTTTGTAATTAACGGAGTTGTTGAAGTTAACATCCAATTCAGCTCTTTTGAGCTTATTCATATTATTGGACCTATTGTGAAAGGGGTTACTGCATCAAGATGAGCATCAAGGCATGACATTTAGGCATCAAACCCAAGAATATGCTATCAAAAGGTCCTATAAGAGAGAGATGGAAGTATGGAGGTCAAAGCCTCATGAAAAGATTTTATTAATGAACCTCTAGTCATGGCATCTTGGTTTTAACTATAAAAATAGACCATTGAAAAGATTCATGAGGAATGCGTCACTATGAATGATCTTCTCACCAATTATTGCTCCGGTGATTGCAACCTAGGGAGTTCTTATTATTCTAAAAAATTAGAAGTGGCCTCCCCTAGGGGATTTCATCCATAGCTATCTACAAGTATCAAAAAATTATCTGACCCAATAACCTAATCAGAACCTGACTCAAAAAACTTATTTGGGTCAGGCTCGGGTTTAAAATATTGACATGATTAATCTTTAGGTCAAGTTCACTAACCCAAGAAGATTGAAATTGACCCGATTATTTTTTGGGTTTGTATTAAACATGCTATTTATGATCGAATGAATCATATTTGGGTTAAATAGACCATATTGATCGGAACAAAAAATGTACGATCTATGTAATAAATCGGTCAAATATGTCGGGTTTAAATTAAAAATTTTGACACATGATAAATGGGTTGGGCTCAAGTCAAATATATTTGGGTTAGACTAATTTTGAATTAGATCCAAATCTAACCCATCAACTATAATTGATACCCTATCTACCAGCACAAAAGGATTAATAGATCTTGGTTAAGTTATTTTAGTTAGAGAAGTCATTACACCTTTTAGCTGATGCCAAAAGTTTGTAAGAAACCTCATTTTGATGTTCATGCTGAAAAAGGAGAATTGGTCATGAAAATTGAAATGGCACACATACTAGTTGCCAGCTTAATACACATACTAGTTGCCAGCTTAATACCTATGTTCAGTAGCATGTGCATGTGGGATGAGACATTCACTCCATTCTAGAAGAACGTGACCCCTTTTCAATGAATGAAAAAAAAAAACAAAAGAAGCCCTTTATATTGTTGCTTTGACATCCACATAACGATAAATACAACAATAAATGAAGATTAAAGACAATTCTCTCTTTTTAGTGACAAGATGAATGAAATGATAACGTAATTGAATATGCTGATGCAACTCCTACAGAAAAATGCACTTGTAAACCCTACACATAGCTCATCTTCTAGGGAGCCTCATCACATAGTCGGTGGTATGGAAGTTAACCCTACTCACCATATTAGTAGAGTTCAAAATGCCCGTAGGACATAAAAGTTTGGAGGCATCCAAACCTTCTCCTCAGAAAATCTAATCCACCTTCATAGCATTACTGTCTCATCTTGAAACTCTCATTAATGAGAAGATCAAAACAATCGTAAGCTTTGGAGCACATAGAGAAGTCGGTGGGAAAGGATCTAAACAATAGGATATATATTATTCCTAATGTGTTCTCAAAGCGCTAAGAAGAATGTCAGGCGCAATAGTTCTTTTTTGTATCAACGTATAAAGAACCAAGCAAACAGGTGCCTTACAAACTTGAGCATTCATGACTTATATATCATATTAATATGTATATATTATGTGCATATGATTATCATTTAACTAGTCAAACTTAGGCCGCATCTGGTAAAATAATTTAACAAATATAATAATCTATTCCTTAATGATAATTTTCAATTTTTAGAAAGGGAAAAAATCAAAGATAAATAGTGAAATTTTTATATAATACTTAAAAATCAAGATTACTCATGAGATTGAGAGACCAACTAGAAATTGCGAGGCGTAGATAGTGCGAAGCGAGAGAGACTGAAGATAAGTATCAAGAAGTGTTCTCAGGAGAAGCTTGTGAGCTAGAATACTAGATTTCATTTCCGAAGCTATGCGCATAGCACCACAACGCTACATGGTGAAGTGTTGCGACAACACGGGCTTTGCTATGAGGTTGCATTTGACAGGTAAGTGATGTGCAGGGCTAGCATATAGCTTCATTTCACTGCTAAAGCACGTTTTTAATAACGCTTTTTCCAGGATTTGCCTGCAACAAATTGTGTTTCTGTATGAGATAACACAGTGTTTGACCCATAAAACAATTCATTCATAAGCATCACTATTCTATCACATTTTTTATTCTTTTGTTTTATGATCATGCTTAATTGTTTTCTATTTCCTTACATTTGGGATTACTTCAAATACTAAAATTAATTCGGTTGATTGGTAGGCTTCCACTACTGAAGCTCTCTTTGGAACAATGGATAAGACACTCTGTCTACTAAGAATGGGCTTCACTGAAAGTGAAGTATCTTCAGCAATTGCTAACTATGGTAATTAAATATTGTGGCATTTAATTACTTAAATAGGATTTCATTTCAAGTGTTGTTGGCCTACTTATTGGAACTGTTGCCTCTCTTGTTAGGTTTGTGATTTTTAATGTTTGCAAGGAGTATAGATAAGACTGACATGCAGGTCATACTATCTAAGATAACAATATTGTCTTATTTCTTAGTTTAAATGAATTGAACTTGTCTAAATGAATTTACATTTATTTTCCAGCACAGACTTCCCATAATCTTACAAATATTATCATTTTTTATATTCTACTTGCTAGGTTTAGAGCAATGATCATGATGAGGACATCAGCAGGAGATTTCGACGCGTTTATCATCGGAGGAATCGTAGTTCGACGACTACGATTCATAGTCTATATTTATGATGCATTTATGTATTTCTTTTATTTATATTTTAGTTTTTACCATTGTACCCCTGTGAGGGATTTCTTTTATGTTGTAGCCCTGAGGGCATTTGAGTCTTTTTATTTTCTCTTATTTTGAGACATATATATAGAGGTCTTCACTATTGTATGAGGTTAATGATTGATTAATAAAAAAAAATTCAGTTTGTGGTTCTTGTTTTCTTGTGAGCTCTTGAGAGAAGAGAGAACCCTAGGAGAGGGCCAGCATCACCCGTCAGCCGCCGGTTGATGCAAGCAAAAAAATTGGGAAGAGACCCCAAATTTTTGCAAGCAAAAGACAACCTTCCTAGATAAAAGAAGATCTTCCAAATTCTCAAAACTAGGCAAAATACGACAAGACAAGCCAAAAACAACTTTACTTTTATAATATAAAGGACTTACAAACTTGAATGTGTGGGCTCCGAAAATTCCATAAGTGTGATCCCGGCCTCTCCGCGCCATCCGTCTATTTCTCTTTTAAGTGTTTGTTTGACGATGACGGCAGAGAGTTTTAACAAGATTAGGTTCCGGGGGAATTTTCAGAAGGCAGATTGGGTTTTAGATAAGACACTACCCAGAGATTTTGCCCTCATTTTGTGAGGACTTTTTGATCTGAGTTCTGGTTTCCTATAGGCGCAAGCCCCTATAGTTAATTACCCCTCCCGATAACATGAGAGAATTTTCGATTAAGGCTAGTCGTTAAAGCATTTATATAGGTTATAAACCTATCGTATAATAGCAACAATTTTATGGTTTGAATTCTAAATTTATGATTTAGAATTTACACCATAAACTTAAAACTGGTGGTGGGGGGAATGAAGACGAGCCCGATCAAGATCCTATGGTTCCGTCGTCTCGGGCTGTCATAATCCCTGGTCTACTTAGTCAGAGGAGGTAGTCGACCCAACCTGACAGAAAGCAACTTGTCGGCAGCCATGGGTTGCTTCGTCCAAGAATACCTTGTAGACCTAGGTTGATATTTTTCTAAGTGGATATATCTGAATTCACCTTAGCTCACAGAGGGCTTTATACCTATCGAATATGCCCTATGATTCATAACTCAAGGGCTTGACGCCTTTAGGGAACATACGGGCTTTGGCCGTGATCGTAATATAATAGTGTCATTTTGCGGCAAAATCACCCGATCAGAGGGCACGTGTCACGTCCCTGTTGGCAAGAGACTATTTGAGGATGAATCGTAGTTATACACCCAATACGCATTCGCTCTTTGTGAGCTGAGGTTAATTTCAAATTTATCACCCCCGACAAACAATTGAGGGAGGCGGATGATTTTTAGTTTTAAGTTTTTTAGGTGATAGATTTTATTTCAAAAGTTTGGGCTTTTATTTGATTTGAGATTTGACCCCTCCGGTTGAGATTTTCTGTCAACACGGCCATCATCGGGGTGACTTCAAAGTCACTTGTATTTTCATAGGATTTTGGGAGGCATTTTGTAATTCAAGTCATGTCAACTCCGGTCCTTTCAAGGAGGAGGATGAAACTTGAATATTTGACCCGCGCAGCATTCTCGAATCATTGGATTTGGGACATAGATATTACGATCGGAGAACATGCGGGTTGTAGAATTTGACCCTGCGTAGCATTCGCGGTCATTAGTATTTATACTTTTAATATGTTGGTCGGAGCACATGCAGGGGTAAATGTAGTTTAAGATATCATATTTAATAAAAAAGGGGCATTTTAAATATTTAAATAATGATCCTTTGCGCAACTGATTTTGTTTAGAAAATGGCCCGGGATTTCTTTTAAAGGGCCTATGAACGCTTCTGTCCGCTTGTACACATGTTGCGGATCCAGTAGCGTAGAGTGGATTTGTAGTATTCATTGCACTAGGTTTATACATATTTGTAGATATCACTAGCGTTATCGTCGATCGGAGATTTGCATTTCGAATGTTTCCTCTATTGTTATTTAAGGACATATCATGTTCAATATTAAAAAAGGTCTATCAAGGTCCAAAGAACTCTCATACTATGGCTTTGTAGTCAAACTATATTCTCAAAAGAAACTTTTGTTTCTTGCAAGTAGTTATAATTACAAATCCATTATCTTCAAGGATAGTTGAATGTGTATGATGGTTTTGATATCATTACTCATTCATATTTCAATTGAATTAATCATCTTTTAGCCTTCATTAAAAATTTGGTAGCATGGCTTAAGTCAATCCTTTTATTGATTGTTTATTTCTTAAAATTTTGGTTCCATTCGAGCATGAGTCCTTTCCATTTGATTCAGATCAAGTTCAAGTGTAAAATTTTATTGATCATTCAAGTCAAGTTCCTTATATTCATGTTGAGTGCAAGACTGGTTCGATCTTGTGTTTGAGTTGAAGTCCAACATTATTTAATTGAATTTAATTTAAAATTGATTTTATGTTTGAATTTCGTTCAAATCAATTTTTTTAAATTTTTTGTCCAAGTCTCGTATTATTCAATGAAAATTTCGGCAGCCTCCCGGCGTCTCCTCTCCACTGAGGGAGAAATCAGGACGGCATCTGCCAAAATTTCTTCCTACCCTGACCTAAGGTCGACGGCGTAGGATCTTCAATTTTAAACCATCACACCAGAATCTAAGATCAACTGCATGGGGTATTCGAATTGTGAAACCATCCGTCCAGATCTAAGATCGATGGCGCGGGTCTTCAAAACCTGTTTTGAAAATTCTCTCATTTCTCTCCATCTCTCTTTTTTTCTTCTCTTTTTTTTTTAATAATATTATTTTAATATCTAAATATTAAAATAATATACATATGATAATATGACATTTATAATATATTATAATAATAATAATATATATTATAATATAATATAAATAGTATTATAATATGTTATCATAATATAATATAATAATATATATTATAATATAGTATATCATATTATAATATAATATAATATATTATAATATATAAAATCAGAAAGGGGGAGAAGATGGATCGAGAGAAACCCGATCGGCTAGGGCGCGTGGAAGGGGCGGAACCACGCACGGGGAAGGCTCGGGTCGGAGACGGCGGCGGGCTCGACAGTTGGCGGCGGCGACGGCATCAGCTCAGGCAGGAGGACGGGGTCGGCCAGAGTCGGAGGAGGTTAGCCGGCTTAGTTGGAATCAGCGGGCTTCTTGGTGACGGGAGATCGAGAGGTAAGTTCTGAAAACTCCCCTCTCTTCTCTTTGTGCGTATGTGTGCGTAAGAGAGAACGAGAGAGGAGTTATTTTTATATCATGAGTGAGGCGGTGGTTGAATTGTCGTGTTTGATCTTAGGTGAGTCGGTGGTTTTGCCGGCAGTTAGAGGTCAACAGAATGCTTACAATCGACACAAACATTAACATAAACTTGCTTTCATTCGTCGAGAAGAAGGAGAAGTGGACAAAGCTCTCAAGCTTTTCCAATAAAACTCTAAGGTTTTCTTACTCCAAAAATCAGCCCCTATTTATAGGCAAGAAAGAGGGCAGCCAAACAGCCCAAATATCTCCCATTAAACCCATTAAATTCAAGGAATATAGAAGGCCAAAAGACTGCAAACAGCTGCAGGAAAACTGCACAGAAAACATGAAAAATCCCATGGAATTCCCCCCCAAATAGCCACCAAACAGTAGTAAATAAACCTATTAGATTTAGGGAAATGAAAGGCCAACAGCCACATAACCTCAGTCCCCAAACGGCACAGCAAAACAGAGAAGAAAGCCCATGGGAACCAAGCAGAAAAGCCACGGAACCGTAGCCAGCCGCAGAACCGAGCAGCAGCTACGGGAACCAAAGAGGCAAAAGCTCGGGAAAACCACCCAACACAGGAAACCAACAATCAGCCACGGGAACCCAAGGGACAAGGCACGGGAAAACCACCAGCACAAGAAACAAATAGACAAAGGGGAGGAGAAGAGGCAAATCCACTCCAAAATGAATCCAAGACTTAAGCGCATACCTTTTTAGATTAATGAGCTAGGAAGTGCAATAAATCTCCCATTTAATGAACTAAACTTCAGCTCAACATTAATGTGCTAAAACTAAGTAAAATTCCAACATTTTGAGTTCAATACTAAGCAACCAAGGCTCAACTGAGAACACCAGAAGCCCAAGGGTCAAAACAAATTCTCATCTTATTTTGACCCCCCCCCCCTTGCCTACATCACCGGTAGAGGCCGGGCTCATGGTTCATACCCGTTGTTATTTTTTTCCCCTTCCTTTCCCCACCATCGGCCAACCCTTCCTTTTCTTCCAACCCGTCAACCTCCCCCATCCCCACCCCAAATCGTCGGTCAAATTTCCCCTCCACTTCCTCCATAGCCGGCCTCCCTTCTCCCACTTAACCCACGACCCAAACTCCACCACCGGTCCCCTCCCCTACTAAACCCAAGACCCACCGTCCCTCCCATAGTCGCCTGCCTACCCAACTTCACCCCTAGCCGCCTGCCTATCGAATCCCAAGCCTTTGATTTCAAATTCGAATTGCCTCCTAATCACTTTCTTAAATTATCCTAGTATTGATTTGGAAATATTCTTAATTTGAATTCAAACATATTTAAATTTTAAATCTTTTCCTAATTGATCAATCTAAATTAGGCAACCTCCCTTGATCA